AACAGCTGAAGGGTGCATGGCCCCAGATAAACAAGAAAACATTGTTACCAGGGGTGAGAAGGGACACAAGCCAAGGCAGCCAGGAGGGCTTCTGGAACCAGTAGTCTCAAGGGTCAGATGTCCACTATTGAATTCTGGGTGCTCTGTCAGCTTGTGAGCCGCATCCGGCCAAGGCGGGGTTGAGTCACGGGGAAGCAGCAGCCCTCTTTGGGTTCATCCGCTTGTCAGTGTGGCACCTGTGAGAGGTCGTAGGGGTTGCTGTGGTTCATTCGGGTTGCTCCTGGCGATTTACCAGAACTGGGAGTTAGGCACAGAGAGGGTGGGGGAGCTTGAGAACCAGACAGGTTATGTGAATTTGCGGTTAGCCTCGGGAGATTTGGTAATTAACGGAGTCTTGGCTACGAGTGCTGTGTTCATAGTAACTGGGCTAAGGATGGGGTTTTAAGATTTAAAAAAAATAGTTTTTGCTACGTCTGAAAATGATGCTCCCTCCCCCTCTTCCAGATTTATTTTTCTATTATTTTTTTTTTTTTTTTTGACAGGCAGAGTGGATAGTGAGAGAGAGAGACAAAGGTCTTCCTTTTTGCCTTTGGTTCACCCTCCAATGGCCGCCGCGGCCCGCGCGCTGGGACCAGCGCACAGCGCTGATCCAATGGCAGGAGCCAGGTGCTTCTCCTGGTCTCCCATGGGGTGCAGGGCCCAAGGACTTGGGCCATCCTGCACTGCACTCCCGGGCCATAGCAGAGAGCTGTCCTGGAAGAGGGGCAACCTGGACAGAATCCGGCGCCCCGACCGGGACTAGAACCTGGTGTGCCAGCGCCGCTAGGTGGAGGATTAGCCTAGTGAGCCGCGGCGCCGGCCGATTTATTTATTTATTTTAAAGTCAGAGTTAAAGAGAGGCAAAGAGACAGAGAGAGGTCTTCCATCCACTGGTTCACTCCCCAAGTGGCCGCAACGCTGAAGCTGGGCCAATCTGGTGCGTCTTCCCGGTATCCCACGTGGATGCAGGGGCCCAAAGGACTTCAGCCATCTTCTATTGCTTTCCCAGACACATTAGCAGGGAGCTGGGTTAGAAGTGGAGCAGGGGGGCCGGCGCCGTCTGGTTAATCCTCTGCCTGCGGTGCCGGGATCCTATATGGGTGCCGGGTTCTAGTCCCGGTTGCTCCTCTTCCAGTCCAGCTCTCTGCTGTGGCCTGGGAGTGCAGTGGAGGATGGCCCAAGTGCTTGGGCCCTACACTCGCATGGGAGACCAGGAAGAAGCACCTGGCTCCTGGCTGTGGACTGGCACAGCTCTGGCTGTGGCAGCCATTTTGGGGGGAACCAACGGAAGGAAGATCTTACTGTCTCTCTCCTCACTGTCTAACTCTATCTGTCAAATAAAAAAAAGTGGAGCAGGGCTGGTGCTGTGGCGCAGTGGGCTAAGCCTCCACCTGCAGCGCTGGTATCCCATGTGGGTGCTGGTTCGAATCCCGGCTGCTCCCTGCACCCAGGTGGGAGACCCAGAAGAAGCTCCTGGCTCCTGCCTTTGGATCAGCCTTGGAGAGTGAACCAGTGGATGGAAGACCTTTCTCTCTGTAACTCTCTCAATAAATAAAATCTTTAAAAGAAAGGAAAATCACCTGCAGGTGTTGGGGCTCGGAATCCGTAGAGCAGGCCGAGCCAGGGGCAAAGGCCCTCGAATGCACTCAATACAGCTGCCCTGGAGGACACAGCCCCACAGGAAAGTGAAAGTTTTGTGTGGCTTGGATGTGGGAGTGGCAGCTTTGAACTGGTTAGGACAAGATCATGGGACTGCCCAAGATCAGACGTGGGGGTGGGGTCTCCTGGAATAGCAGTGAAGTAGAGAGAGAGAGAGAGAGAGAGAGAGAGAGAGAGAGATAGGAGCTGCGCCAATCCAAAGCCAGGAGCCAGGAGCTTCTTCCAGGTCTCCCACAGGGGCCCAAGGACTTGAGCCATCTTCCGCTGCTTTCCCAGGCCAGAGCTGGATCGGAAGTGGAGCAGCCTGGATCAAACCGGCACCCGTACCAGTACTGCAGGCGGCAGCTCTCTCCCCTGCTTCCCAAAGTTTGAGATGAAGAAGGTGGGGGCGTAGTGAACAGACCCTGGGCAGATCAGGTGAGCCCAAGTCGGGAGGGCCTAGGCAGAGTTTGAGGGGGAGTAAGTTGGCCTGGGTGTCTGGGAAGGTATTCCTCCTGCATGAGTGTGGCTGAAAGAGAGCAGGGTAGCAGTGTGAGATAGCGAGGCTTCCTGGGGGAGGCATCCCTCAAAGCAGGTGGGCACCCCCACGGTGGGGGGCGGGGAGATTCCTAAGGAGGAGAATCCGACAGGTGACGGAATGAAGGGCAGTTATGGAGAAGGAGAAGTGCCTGGACGTAGGGAACCTCAGGCTGTTTGTTGTGATCCAGGTCACCGAGAATTTGGAGGCTGAAAGTGACAAATTCTGGCCAAGCTTTAGTGCAGAAGAAAATGAACTCTTCTGGCCTCATCTCCCCCTCTTAGGCCCAGCCTGCTCAGGGATTTTTTTTTTTAATAGATAGGTGAGGCAGGGGAGGGTATTGGGCAGAACGCAGGAAAGTGTGGAGCCCATGGATCAGGTAGAATGGGCCCGGAGGCTGGAGGGTCACTCACTTAGAGCGTCCTCTGAGGGGCCCCACGCAAGCGGACTCTTCTCCTGGAGACGAGAGAGCGTGGTCCTGACTTTGCGAGACAGGTGACTCCGCCCAAAAGTGGGACAAGTTCCTGCCACATTAGACCTCCCAGAGGTCTCCTCTTGTTCTCAGAACAAAAGGGAAAGGGGCCAAAGTGTATCTTAGACCTGCCGGAGGCAGGGGACAGTGGCCGATCTGCCCCAGCATGCTTTGCAGAGACAGGGCCGCCCTCTTTCCAGTCCAACCGGCTGAGAACCAGATCTGGTGTTGCACGTAGAGGGAGATCCGACAGAGAGTCTGTGGCCGTGAACCTGCAGACGAGAAAGCCCACGTGGGGACTGAGGGGGACAGGCCAAGGCGATTCCCAGAGGCACCTCTGAAACCCGCCCGAGTGACCCCAAGGAGGTGCCTCGAGGGGAGAGGACCTAGACATGACAGAACAGGAAGGAAGGCAGTAGGAACGAGCCGCCCCGGTCTGCCTTCATCCCAGGTTTCGGCACCATATGTTATGTTTTAGGGTGTTAGAGTTTGAAGAATGAGAGGAGGCGGCTAGTTAAAGTAGAGACTTTTTTTAAATAGTTATTTACTTTTTTATTTGAAAGGCAGCGTTACTGAGAGGCATAGACACAGAGAGAGACAGGTCTTCCATCTGCTGGTTCACTCCCCCAATGGTTGCAATGGCTAGAGCTGGGCCAGTCTGAAGCCAGGAGCTTCTTCGGGGTCTCCCACATGGGTGTAGGGGCCCAAGACTTTGGTCATCTTCTACTGCTTTCCCAGGCCATAGCAGAGAGCTGGATCAGAAATGGAGCAGCCAGGACTTGAACCAGCACCCATATGGGATGCTGGCGCTTCAGACAGCGGCTTTACCTGCTACGCCACAGTGCTGGCATTTAGTAGAGAAGACTTTATTTTAGGGAGGACAGAATGGGCGTGGGCAGACAGTGGGGTTGAGCCTGCCCGGACAGAGGGCGGGGATTTGAAGCCAGGCTTTGTTCCGTCTGAGCGGCAGGCAGGGTCCCCTCTTAGGCAGTTTGTTGGGGGAGGCTCAGAGGGCCAGGGGGACCCTGATAAGGTGGAGGGGGGCTCCTGGCGTGCCTCGTGAATGTCCCCAGGTGCAGGCTTTCTGGAGCAGTAAGTTCTGCTGGCCTTGAGGGCATCTGCCTGCCTGCGCCTACTTCCTCAGGCCCGGGGGTGCAGGCCCGGCGCTCTCACACCAGCTGGCTGCGGTGGACGCTGGAGGGCCAACTGGACATAGGTGATGTGTGTGACCTGGGCGTTCTAGGGCTGGGGGAAGGGACTGCCCCTCATGGAAGCCCAAGTCTGCAGGGGCTCCCAGAGGGGGCCAGGGCTCCCAGCATGCATAGGTGAAGCAACCTGCGGCAGGTTGTTGGCCTGCAGCCCAGGACCAGCCGCTTCCTAAGCCCAGAGAGAGGAGCTGCAGGGGAACAGGCGGCCCCACCCTCCGAGGCCTCCTGGAGGGAAGGCGGGGAACCGGGCGAGGGTCACAGGAGCACAGTCAGGGGCCCCAAAAAGCTGCCCTGAAAAGTGGCTGCTGATAAGGCCACTAGGGGAGAGCCCTCCATCACGGGAGGGGGGGGCAGGAGAAGGAAGAACCGGACCGGTCAATGGGCAGAGGGAGCAGAGCTGGGGTCCAGCCTCCAGGCCCCCTAAAGGCTGCAGGGTGTCAGGGGCTGGGCAGTGCTCAGGCTGAAGCAGCCATGATGGGGAAGGGGCAGAGGAAGCCAGGCAGGTCCCTGGCCCTCCTGAGAGCGCGAAGGGAAAGTGGTCGGTGGGAAAGGCCAGGAGCCCGGGAGCCGGGGGGAGGGGCGAGTGTGGAAACTTGAGGTTAGGGCAGGCGGAGGATCAAGTGGCGCCTGTGACCTTTCCTTTTGCCCAGGGAACAAACTCCTGGAAGGGGCGGAGCCAGTTTACAGGGGAGGTGTCCCCAGGGTCCTGGAGCTGGGTCAGAAGGGAGCTGGGGGCTGGAAGGATGGCTGGGGCCAAATGCCCCCTGCAGGCTCAGGAGGGGCCAGCCTGCTCAGGCTGCCGCTGGCAGGCACCCCGAGGCTGTGATGAAGGGGATCACCTCCTGGAGCCATGGAGGAGGCGGATCACAGGGTGGATCCTGCTTAGGGTCTGTTTGGGCGTGGGGGGAAGGTGTGGGGTGCTGGGCTGGGCAGGAAGAGGGGGTTTCAGATTTCTGGTAGTTTCCGGAGTTTCTTCCCAGGACCTGGGACTAAAGAGAGGGAGGAATCACAGCTCATGGGGTCAGCTGGCTGAGCTGAGCCGAGGTGAGAGCCGCCGCCTGTGCCGCCTGCAGCCTGGAGTCCCCGGTGTGTGTGGGTCCAGTTAGGAGGGAGGGAGTTGGAAATGTGAATTTGGGGAGGGGGTCTTGGGGCTTTGGAGGCCTGGTTAAGGCGGCCTCTGTGATGAGTGTGGCCTGGGTGGAGTGCCGAACCGCCACGCCTTTCTGAGCCAAAAGTAGGAGCATGTGTGTGCGTGCACACGCGGCGTGTGACTAGGTATGTCTCTGCATGTCTGTGTGGCATGTCCGCCTGTGTTTATGTGCGCTCTGCATGCCTGCACAGAGTGTGACTGTGTGTCTGTCTATGTCTTTGTGGTATGTATCCGTGCGTATCGGTGTGTCTCCGTGAATTTGTGTGGCTGTGTGTAGGTCTGTGTGTCACCGTGGCTCTGGGCGTGTGTCTTTGTCTCCTGTGTGTCTCTGTGCTTGTCTGTGTGTGTGCCAGCGTCCGTTGTCTCTGTTCGTGTACTGCCAGGAGCTCATTACTCAGCAGGCTCGTAGAGCTGGACTCTTGGCCTGGTGCTCCTTGCCGAAGCACGGTAAGGTGATTTCCAAGGGCCGCCCCGTGAGGCTGTTCCTTTTCCTTGAAGCCAGCTGCTTGGGTGCCCTCATTGAGCTGCTCTGTGTATGCCCCTTGGCTGCACTCAGACAGCACCAGCTTGGTCACTCCAGCCCTCACAGCAGCACTGACAGTGAACTTTGCTGTTCCTGGGGCACTGTGAAAGGCTGTGTTGGCGCGCGGGGAGCCTGGCCATGGGTGTTTGAAGTGTGTCCCATGTGCCTTTGGGGAGGTAGGAACTTCCCTAGCCCGGAGGTCTGCTCTGAGGAGGCTCCCACCTGCTGACTGTCAACTGATTTAACTGCTGGAAAGAATTCCACCCACCTGCCTGTGCCAGTGCTGGCTCCTGCCCCACCCCTGCCTCCCGCCACCTCCTGCCAGGCTGGGAAGTGGGTGAAAGGAGCGGCTGAAGCCAACACATGGGCCCTGGCCACCTCCCAGGGGGCGGTGCCCCTGGGTGACACCTGGTGCCAGAGCATAAGGAAGAGACAGTTTCAGCCTCCCAGGGCAGGTGGCAGGTGGGCAGGGAGGCCAGACAGCCTGCCAACCACGGGGCTCTATTCTGTCCCCTCCCCAGGCCGTGGGCCCGGTGACAGTGAGGCCGTGGTGGCGCTGGTAACAGGATGCCCCAGGCCCTGGAGCGTGCGGACGGCAGCTGGGCCTGGGTGGTTCTGCTGGCGGCCTTGGTGACCCAGGGCCTCACCCTGGGGTTCCCCTCCTGCATCGGCGTCTTCTTCACCGACCTGCAGCGTGACTTCCAGGCCAGCAACAGCGAGACCTCCTGGTTCCCCTCCATCCTGGTGGCTATGCTCCATGCTGGGGGTGAGCAGCGTGGGGAGGGGGCTGGGGAGGGAGGAGGAAGTGGCGGGGGTGGGGGGGGCAGGAGCCACCACTTCCCTAGCCTCCCAGGTCCCTCTCTCCTGGGCCACTGGCCTCGCCTCCAGATGAATCCCTGAGATTTCACCTGATTTCTGCAGGGCCGCCCCTCCCCGCCCCTCCGCTGGAGTCCAGCTGGCCTGGGCTGTGTCTCCGGGCTGGGCCAAGGATGGGGTGAGTGGGAAGCACCCCAGGTGCAAGGCCAGACACACTTCCTAGAGAGGCCTCTTGGAGCTGCTGGAGAACTTGAGCCAGACTAAGTGCAGCAGAGCTCAGCGCCAAACTGGGAGGAGCCAGCGGCAGCACCAGCACACTGGGCTCTGTTGCTGCCTTCCAACAGGGTGATCTCGCTGAACCCCAGTTTCTCCCTCTGTGATATGGGGGTGACACCCAGAATCCCACCCAGCTCCCACGTGGGACGGTTAGGTAGGCCAGACAGGAACTAGGAGATAAATGCACCTGTGAGCTATTAGCATTTTGGAGACCCTCCTGGGGTCTTCAGGGGTGTAAGGGAGACACCAAGAACCAGAAGCAGGGGCTGGGGCTGGGGCAGTGGGACAAAGGCAGCCCCCGCCCCCTCTGCCTGCTCTCACTCACCGCAGGCCTCAGACTAAGGCCTCTGGGTCCTGGCTGGGAATTCTAGGAATGTGTCCACCTCACCGTGACCCCAGCCACGGAGGCAGGGCAGGAGCTGCCCACGGAAGGCTCTCTGCTGGAGGCCTGGGTTCAGGGACCTGCCCTTGGCTCCTGGGAACTTCTCAGGGAGACCCCACGACTGGAACCCCATGGAGGGGGCCCGGTCAACTCCTTGAACCTCCCAGTGAATGTACAGGTTTGCCTCGGCGGCCCCCAGCTCCCTGGCTGCTGCCCGCCACTCCTTCCAGCGGGCACCAGCAGTCTACTGGTTATTACCTGGTCCTTCCCACACATGGGGAGGAGATTACCCCCTGGGGAGATTGCCGCCCTCTCTCTGGCCTCAAAGGCCTGCAAAGGACAGGTATTGGGAACCGCAGGTGACTCTCACGCAGGCCAAGGAGAGCCTGGGTCACAGGAACTGGGCACCTGTAGGGACTCCTGCTGCCCGGCCAGCCTTGGGCTCACCGCCCCCTAGCAGGCACACCAAAGTCACAGCTTGACCTGTGTGTCCGTCTGTCCCTGATAGATACACACCCCTTTAGCCGAGGCGTTCTCAGAATGTCCTGGACATGATGAACTTGAACGTGTCATTGAATGTCTGGAGCCCTCCCCGCTCCTGCACATTGGAGAGGCATGGGAAGTGAGCAGGCACAGGGTCCAAGGTCTGCCCACGGCGGCTGCAACATGAGTGTGGCAAAGGAAACGCCTGCCTCCCAGGGCCCCACCCACCTGCCTGCCCTGACTCAGGGCTTCTCCCAGTGTCACCTTCTCCTGCATCAGACCAGAGGCTCAGCGGTGGGGAACGTGTGTGGGCCACGGTCACGTCCAGAGCCTGGCCTCTCCCTCGGCAGCGGCCAGGACCACCGATCGGCAGCCTCTCCTTGATTGTCTCCCAGGATGAGCTGCTCACGTCCCCATCACTCTCATTCACCTGACTCGCACCACGCACACCCCTCTCCATGGCAAACAGGGACCGTGACAAGCCCCGTGATGTGTGCTTGGGCCAGGGTGCTGCATGACTGGGGCCCCTGCGAGGTTCCAGGTGGAACTGGAGGGGACTGGCTGGCTTCGGCTCTCCCAGGTGTGGGCTGACCAGAAAGCAGTTGGTGGGGGGAGGGGCAGGTCCCTTCCCACACGGAGTCTAAGGCCCCGGTGCAGACTTTGGTTGTGGCTGGAGGTGATGGGGGAGGGGAGAAGGGAACCCACCTGATTTCCTCCAGAACATTCCAGAGACCGGTGCAAGGAGGCCGCAGAATGTCGAGGGTCTCCCTCCCAAGGGTGCAAGTTGGAAGGTGGCAGGAGCACTGTGGCCCGTCTTCATGAGGATTTCAGGGGCAGAGTGGAGGCAGGCGGAACAGAGGCTGAGAGCGCGCTCTCTGCTTTAGAGGCCTTGGGATGCACCTCCACCCCGACAGACCCCTAGCAAGGGGTGTGCACTCAGGTTGTGGGCCAGTCCCCCTTTCGCCTGGGTGGAGTCAGCTTTGGGTCAGTGCAGCATAGGGCCTGGTTGTCCCCCCACCCCGGAGGGGAACAAATGTTACTCAACCCAACCCCTCACTCTGTGGGGGGGAAACTGAGGCACAGAGAGGGCTGGGGTCCTGCTCAGGCCATGTGGTCAGTCTGTGGCAGGAACCAGGCCAGCAGGCTCCGGGGCTGGATAGCTCTTCCCCATCATCACTCTCGCCCCACCTCCTGACCGCCTCGTTCACCTGCCACCTCTGGCTGTCTCCTCCCCACAGGGCCCCTGTGCAGCATCCTGGTGGGACGCTTTGGCTGCCGAGTGACCATGATGCTGGGGGGCGTGCTGGCCAGCCTGGGCATGGTGGCCAGCTCCTTCTCCCGCACCCTCAGCCAGCTCTACATCACGGCAGGCTTCATCACAGGTGACCGTCATTCCATCTCCACTAAACAGTACCAGGCACAGGTGGACGGGGCAGGCAAGCTGCTGCTTCTGTTGTTTTATTAATTTTTATTTAAAGACCAAGAGCCGGCGCCGTGGCTCAATAGGCTAATCCTCCACCTTGCGGCGCCGGCACACCGGGTTCTAGTCCCGGTTGGGGCGCCGGATTCTGTCCCGGTTGCCCCTCTTCCAGGCCAGCTCTCTGCTATGGCCAGGGAGTGCAGTGGAGGATGGCCCAGGTGCTTGGGCCCTGCACCCCATGGGAGACCAGGAAAAGCACCTGGATCCTGGCTCCTGCCATCGGATCAGCGCGGTGCGCCGGCTGCAGCGGCGGCCATTGGAGGGTGATCCAACGGCAAAGGAAGACCTTTCTCTCTCTGTCTCTCTCTCTCACTGTCCACTCTGCCTGTCAAAAAAAAAATAAAAAAAAAAAATAAAAAAAAAATTTTATTTAAAGACCAGAGCGGGTGGGGAGGGAGAGAGGGAGAGAGATCTCCTATCCTTACTGAACACTCCCCAAGTAGCTGCAACAGCTGGGGCTGTGCCAGGCTGAGGCCAGGAACCTAGCACTCAATCTGGGGTTCCTGCATGGAAGGCAGGGACCCAAGTCATTGAGCCGTCACCTGCATCAGGAAGCAGGAATTGGGAGCTGAGCTGGGACTCAAATCTAGGACTCCCATGTAGATGGTGGGTGTCCAAGTGGCATCTTTATTTTATTTTATTTTTATTTGACAGGTAGAGTTATAGATACAGAGAGACAGACAGGTCTTCCTTCCATTGGTTCACTCCCCTAATGGCCGTCACAGCCGGCGCTGCACCGACCCAAAGCCAGGAGCCGGGTGCTTCCTCCTGGTCTCCCATGTGGGTGCAGGGATCCAAGCACTTGGGCCATCCTCCACTGCCCTCCCAGGCCACAGCAGAGAGCTGGCCTGGAAGAGGAGCAACCAGAACTAGTACCCGGCGCCCCAACCAGGACTAGAACCCAGGGTGCCGGCGCCGCAGGCAGAGGATTAGCCAAGTGAGCCACAGCGCTGGCCTAAGTGGCCTCTTTAGAACTAGGCCAAAATGCCAAATGCCCCAAGTGCAGGTGCAGGGATGTGGGTGCTGGATCAGAGGGAATTGAACAAGGGGGCTAAAGGGGGGTGCAGGTGGGATGGGGGCTCAGTTCTTAGAAGGGTCTGTGGGGAGGTGGGGGCTCAGTTCTTAGAAGGGTCTGTGGGGAGGTGGGGAGGTTCAGGCAGAGGGACGAGTTCAGGCGTGGTGCAGCTGGGGACTGAGAATCCACTGCAGGCATCGGGCGAGGCGCAGGCAGGGAGGTTAGGGGCACAGCCGGAAGCCAGGTGGGAGGGGGCTGGGGCTCTGCGCAGGGTGGTGTGGGGAGACTGGGGTCTGCACCTGGGGTGCCAAAAGAGAAGGCAAGGGTGGCCCAAGGTTCCCAGGGGACACCAAGACTCGCCGCCCTGAGCCCCTGGGAAGATGCAGCAGCTGTTGACTATTGGGAGAACGTGGGTGGGGGAGGAGCAGGTCTGGGGGAAGTTGGGAGTTCAGCGGGAGGCCCAAGCCAGAGCCAGTGCTTCAGCGCTGTGAGATGAGCGGCATGGAAGCTGTGAGCTGCGGGATCGCCTGCTGTCACCGGGCGATGAGGGTGGTGAGAGGTCTGCAGAGGCCGAGAGGTCTGGCCAGGAAGAAGCGACCAGAGAGGTGGAAGGAGACTCAAGAATCCTCCCCCCAAAAAGCGAGTAAAGGGTGTCAAAGCGAGGGCCCGTCTCCCCTGCTTGGAGTCCCGGGGGTCAGAGGCAGTGACAGGAGTAAGGCTGGTGCAGGTGTCAGGTTCAGAGCGAGCAGGAGGAAGGCGAGCGGAGGTGCAGACCAGCAGTGTCTCCGTGGCTGCCTGATGCAAGGGGACCCCAAAACAGGCCGGTTCTCGGTGTGTGGGGGTGATGGCGGCCCGTGGGGGCTTTCCTTGCTTCCTTTATTTGAGAGGCAGAGAGAGAGAGAGAGTTCCCATTCTCTGGTTCACTCCCCAAGCCAGGAACAAAAAACTCGAGCAGATCTCCCACATGGTGACAAGAACCCAATTAATCGAGTCATCGCCGCTGCCTCCCAGGGTCAGCACTGGAGGGAGATGAACCCAGGCACTCCGAACCGCCCCACCTCCCCACAAACCCTTCTGGGAGCGGAACCCCCACCCCACCTCCACCCCGCTTCTTTGGTGCCCCCCCCCCTTTTTTTTTTGACAGGCAGAGTGGACAGTGAGAGAGAGAGACAGAGAGAAAGGTCTTCCTTTTGCCGTTGGTTCACCCTCCAATGGCCTCCGTGGCCTGTGCGCTGCGGCCGGCACACGTCGCTGATCCGATGGCAGGAGCCAGGTGCTTCTCCTGGTCTCCCATGGGGTGCAGGGCCCAAGCACCTGGGCCATCCTCCACTGCACTCCCGGGCCACAGCAGAGAGCTGGCCTGGAAGAGGGGCAACCAGGACAGAATCCGGCGCCCCGACCGGGACTAGAACCTGGTATGCCGGCGCCACAAGGCGGAGGATTAGCCTCGTGAGCCGCGGCACCAGCTCTTCAGTGCCCTTGTTATGCCCCTCTAACCTAGCACCCACATCGCTGCTCCTGAACTCTGGGACTTCACGTTTGCCGTACCCTCTGATATGGGGCAGGTGTCATAATTGCCAGGCCAAATGCCCGTCCTCTTCTTTGTTCAAATGGTAACCACGAGGGCACAGCTGGCTAAGTTACTGCTTGTGACTTAACCCGCAGCCTGTATCAGAGCGCCTGGCTTCAAGTCCGGGCTCCACTTCTGATTCCAGCTTCCTACTAATGTGCATCCCAGGAAGCAGCAGGTGACGGCTCAAGTACTTGGATCCGTGCCACCCACCTGGGTGATCTGGCTGGAGCTCCCGACTCCTGGTTTCAGCCTGCCCCGGCTGTGGCTGTTGTGGGCATTTGGGAGAGTTAGCCAGTCAAAAGATGGGAAATTTCTGTCTTTCTTTCTCTGCCTTTCAGATAAAAATGCAAATAAACAGATGCAAGTTTATAGTACAAGATCAGCCTGGTGCTATACTGAGAGGAAGCGGCTTGTCCCTGGCAGCCTCAGGAGAGCAGACTGGAGGGCTGGATGCCTGCGGGGGTGGCGAGGCGGTCCCTGGGGACTTGGGAGCAGGTCTTGGCTAGAACAGAAGGGGGCACGCCTGCTCCAGGGCCCCAGGACACCCCTGAGCTGGTCTCCCCTCTCGCACCACAGGCCTGGGCATGAGCTTCAGCTTCCAGTCGGGCATCACGGTGCTGGGCTTTTACTTTGTCCGCCGGCGGGCTCTGGCCAATGCACTGGCCTCAGCGGGGTCCTCCCTGGGCATTACCCTCTGGCCGCTGTTGTCCCGCTACCTCCTGGAGGACCTGGGCTGGAGGGGCACCTTCCTCATCTTCGGCGGGGTCTTTCTGCACTGCTGCATCTGCGGGGCCCTCCTGAGGCCCGTGGCCACCAACGCGGCCCCTGAGACCACAGAAAGTCCCCCTCCACCTTCAAAGACGCCTGTGCACAGTTGCCTGGCAACCTGCGGCCAGGCCATCCAGCACCACCTGGCCTTCGACATCCTGCAGCACAACCGGGGCTACTGCGTGTACACACTGGGCGTGATGTGGATGATCATGGGTTTCCCGCTGCCTCACGTCTTCCTGGTCCCATTCGCCATGAGGCACGGGGTGGATGAGAACCGGTCAGCCCTGCTCATGTCCATCATCGGCTTGAGCAACATCTTCCTGCGGCCCGTGGCTGGGCTGTTGATGGGCCGGCCGCCCTTTGCCGGCTACCGCAAGTACCTGTTCTGCCTAGCAGTCCTGCTCAACGGGCTCACCAACCTGGTGTGCACAGTGTCAGCTGACTTCCGGGTGCTGGTGGGCTACTGCCTGTTGTACAGCGTGTCCATGAGTGGCGTCGGCACCCTCATCTTCCAGGTCCTCATGGACATTGTCTCCATGGACCGGTTCCCCAGCGCCCTGGGCCTCTTCACCATCCTCAGTGGCGTCGCAGCCCTCATCTCTCCACCACTGGCAGGTGAGGCCTGGGCGCGCGGAGCAGGGGACGGTCTGTACAGAGCTGGCCCAGTCTAGTGTCACCTCCAGAGCTAGGGACTTGGACTCTGATTTTCCCGTGTACCCCAGGGGACAAGGGCCTGTTCCCCAACTGGCACTCGGGGTGAAAAATTAAGTCAGGGGTTGCCTACCAGACTTGCCTGAGTCCTCCATCCTCCTCAATGCACCTGGTTTTCTTTTTTTTTTCCTTAAAGATTTATTTTTATTTGAAATACAGAGCAACAGAGAGAGGAGAGGGAAAGACAGCAAGAGAAAGAGAGAGAGTTCTCCCGTTCTCTGGGTCACTCCCCAAAAGGCTGTAATGGCCAAGGATGGTCAAGTGGAAGCCAGGAGCCAGGACCTCCATGCAGGTCTCCCACGTGGGTGGCAGGGACCCAAGCACTTGGGCATCTTCTGCTGCTTTCCCATGCACGCCAGCAGGGAGCTGGATGGGAAGCAGCACACCTGGGACTCCAACTGGCGCTCTGATCCGGGACGCCTGTGTCACAAGTGGCAGCTTCACCCACTGCGCCACAACGCCGGCCCCGCACACCTGATTTCTTGTCAGTAAAGTGGGTGTGATAACAGCATCTACCTCCTGGGCCTGCTGCAAGGATCCCCAGCCGCGCAGTCAGGAGCTTCATCGCGAGCATGGCACGCAAGAAGCGCCCGGCAGGTGTCCACTGTGTTTCCTTTGCTCCCCTGCGCCACGACTTCATCTGTGAATTGCAGAACAGAACTGCTGCTGCCCTAAGCTGTGCGGTCACAGGTGCCCAGGAGGTTCCCTCTCTGGGATCGGCTTCTCCTGGTGGAGCAGGCACGTTTGTGACCCCTCTGGTGATTTGCACTGGGAGGGAAGGGCGTGGGAGTAAGACACGCACAGGAGAGGACGTGTGACACTCAGAGAGGGTGAGGCAAGTCTGCCCAGGCCCGGGTGCTGGCAGCAGCATGGGGTGGGACACAGGGAGGACTTGCCACTCACGTGTGGCTTAGCGAGTCGTGGTTTCCAAGATTGGTCTCCAAGCCAACAAGTGGAGAGAGCTATCCAGGAAGAGGTAAGGGTGCGGCCTGGGAGTGGCTCAGCAAACACCTCTGCCACCAAGGGCAAGGGACTGGGTCCTTAAGTTCTCTTCTGGTCTAGGCTCCTCCTCCCCAGGCCAAAGGACACAGGGCATTGCGATAGCTCCTGGACGACAGAGACAGGAATCAAACCCCTACTTTCACATGGCACAGAGTTCAGTGGAGGGAGGCCTGGCAGCCCTGAGGGTGCTCTAACTCGCTCTCTGTCCCCCAGGCCTCCTCCTGGACGCCAGCAACAACTTCAGCTACGTTTTCTACCTGTCCAGCTTCTTCCTCATCTCAGCCGCCCTCTTCATGGGGGGCAGCTTCTACGCCCTACGGAAGACAGAGCAAGGCAGGCGAGCCAAGGCGGAAGGAGCCGTCCGGAAGGCTGCCCTGCCGCAGGCTCTGAACCCCAAAGGCAAAGAGACTTCAGAGAAGCAGCCATGTCTTGAGATCACATACGTGACCAGTGTCTGAGCCTCACAGGTCACGCGTGTGACCAGCTTCTGAGCCCCGAGATCAGTACATGGCCACTCTCTCAGCAGAGACTTGCGACCTCCGGCGGCTTCGCCAGGGGTGAAGGGCAGCCCAGGAAGCCCGAGTCCAAGGCTGTCCAGACTCTCCAGGGGCCTGGAGGATGGCCTCTGCAGACAGACCCAGGGCCCTTCCCCGCAGCCGGATTGAGGGGGTGGCTCTCCTGACTTTTCCAAGGGGACCAGGGGACCTAGGACCAGCAAGCTGGGGCCGAGCCCTGCTCAGGACTGTCCCAGACGTTCAGTTCAGCTGGCTGCCTTGCTGCTCCTACAACTCGACACACTGGACTTTCACCTCCAACCGGGATACCACGGACATCATCCCTCTTTGTGCTTCTTGGGCTTCTGGACAATTCGGAAGAGTTCACCCTGCTCCCGGGGCCCGCCCTACTCCCTCTTCCCAAGGGACCCAGGAGTCAGTCCCTTAGGAAGGCCAACACTGAGGGTGGGGCTGCCCCAGCCAGGGTTGCTGGAGCCCGTGAGAGGTGCTGAGTCGGCCCCAGGTGCAGGATGGGGACAGTTCACAGGTCCAGTGAGTGCCTTGCCTGGCCCTGTGCAGAGAGCAGGAGGGGAGCCCCTGGCTGGGGTCCCGGGAGTGAGGGGCTCCCCAAGAGTCTTAGAGTCTCAGCAGGACCTGACTCGGGGCCCCCCACCCTCAGTGGGGAAGAAGACTCTGGGGTGGAGAAGCCGGACACTGTCCAGGGGAGGGGAAGTCTTGCTGGGCAGCTTGAGGACCACTGTGAAGACAGGGCTGCTTCTCCAACAGACTCCCGCCCCCTCCGCCCCTCCGCCCCTCCGCCCCTGCTGTGTCAGAGGGGTGAACCCCAGGCTGAGCAGCTGGCTGGGCCAGCTGCCTGGCC